ATATATACACACACATATTTTATTTTTTTATTATTATTTTTTTTACCATGATGTCACAACCTGATATTGAAGACAAAGGAGATAAATTTCCTTTACTAAGGAGTCTGTGAAATGATCCAATGCTTTATTACAGGTGAAAATAACCAAAGTACCATTTTGCCAGAACTTAATAGAGAATGACATCCATCATGGATTGATTGCCACCTTGAACCTCAGAGCCATACAGATATTGCAGCATTCCTTTGCAACAGGAGCTTAAGCCAAGTTACTGTATTTATTTGCCTGAAAAAAAATGGATCCTCTACCCTTTCCTAACACCAGCTCAGCAGTTACCATTTGAGAACTAACTAGAAATTTCAGAAGTGCCCTGTGTACCTCAATATACAAGAACACAGGGACTGACATAAGACCAAGAAGCTTTACAAACTTAAAATGGGAACAGAGCAAGGAAGGCAGGGTCATGTCTCAAAGGCACATGAAATAAAGGAAACCTATCATGAGAATAGATGTTTTTTCCTCCCAAACCATCTCACTTCACTTGCATGAAGTCCAAGTGCCCAGGTGAAGAATTTCACTCAAGGTCAGTATGTTTCAATGTGTAAGTGTCTCTGCTTCATAAAGCAGAGTGTAAAATGAAATACTGACATATAACATAGGGAAAAAAAGGATGGGATTCAGTAACCTCTGATATCAGAGGAGGTTTCTTTCCAGTCCTGTGCCCCTACCTATGTTCATGCTGCTATTTCAAACATAGGCTTAGTCATCTGGAAACGCTGCAAGTAAACCACTTCTGAGGCTTTTATTACAAGCAAATCTGAGGCACAATCAGACACAAATGATTGCAAGACTTTTTTTGCAAGTTCCTTTTTCACAAAACTGTAAATTAAAGATGAGAAACATTCTTTGTCAGCCAGACGTGCCTGGAAATTTCACAGTACCTTTAAAATCTAACAGGAATGCTACTTTAGAATAAATATCATTGTATTAGCTGCATCTTCAAATTGGTATTGCTGCATTGTTGTCTTTGCAGATTTAGTATTTGGCCAAAATAATTTACTTTGGTAATTCTGACTAGTTCATTGCCCTGAAGAATATAGTTTCTCTTTTGACCGTTGCTGAACTGGTACATCCATGAGGAACACCTAATGTAGCTTTGAAGAACAGAAGATTTTATCTTTGACAGACCAACTTAATATAGACAGAAATATGGCTTATAGCCAAGTTAATAATGTCTTCAAGTACACATGAAACAATTAAATGCAACTTTAAATACAAATCAGTTTAACATGGCAAAAGTGAAATTTCTATGCAAAACCTTGAAATCCCCCTTTCCATGCTATTACTGTAAGTTGTGCCTACAATGATGATGAGTGCTTTTTTCTCACACTCTCTCACAAGCTTTGCTCCTGACTCAGCTTATCTTATAGATAAAATATGTCTCTTCACCTATTCTGCCTAAGCAACATTTGGATCCCTGCCATGTAATGTAATTAGCTAAAATAAACTATGTAATCAGTTTGATAGGTATATACACAATCTAAAACTCTATCTTTGAAGGTGCTAAGTGTTCCACGACACTAATTTTCCAGGTGTCATGTCTGATCGGCCTCTCCAGTTACTTTTCCCAGTGCTGAAATCTCCCATCTCATTTCTAAGTGCCACACTAAAACCAGAGCTTTTTATGCTACTGGTATTTTCAGTGGCTCTCTAAGGTTTGAATCCACTCAGTAATGCCAGTATAAATTAGGAATAATTCTGCTATGGTCACAAGAATTACAGCCATGTAAACTCAGTGAAATAGGAGACTCCAACTTGGAAGTTTAAAATAAACATGTTTCTGAATGGTTCTCTCCCTGATACTGTTCCTAGGTTGTGTGCCAAGTCATTAGTAAAAAGGTTTCCTTAACACAGTGTGTCTTTGCAAAACTATTTTGAGACAATGTGGTGCAATTATAGTATTCCATGTCGCTCAAGTGTAAATACAAAAAGCAGGAAAAACTTTAGACAGACACTGAAAAATTCTTATAAATTTAAGCCAGCCTTAAGAAGAGATACTGCACCTAATAAATCACCTTCTTTTTTTTTTTTTTCCTAATATTCCCACTGATGTGAATTTCCTTCATTATGGCAGACACTCGGTACCACATGTCAATAAAACTTCAGAAAAGCTGTAAACCTTGTTTGATTCATATGGGAAACATTCATGTTTCTTTATAATACTGAGCAGACTTGGGAAAAAGTTTAAGAAATGCATAATAACAATTTAGAAAAAAAAAATCCAGCTTAAAAACCCCCTGAAATCAAAGTTCACATTCTGATGATTTTTTCCAGTGGAATCTCATGCTGTGTACAACATAGTTATGAGGTGAGATGTACTTAGGTTGCTTCTGTCCCTCTCAAGTTCATCCTCGAGGTTGAGGCCATGTTTGGGCCAGTTTGGCTGCTTCAGCAGCTCCAGCTGTTAAAATCTCTGCCAGTTCCCAGACATGAATAAGCTACAGCCTCTCATGAGCCCTGCTCCATGCTGCTGCCTGTTCCCAGAGAAAGCCTTCCCCATCATTTACTGGAGTAGGTAGACCCTCCTGTGCCAGCTCATTCCTAGCTCAGCACACCTCTGTTTCTTCATCCTTCCCCATAACCTTTGGCCACATCTCCTGCTCTC